TAATCAACCTGCGAACTACCTATGTCAACAAAAAGGACGGTAAGCAACACCTTTTCCTTGGCTAAATTTGAATAGATTTTAATTATAGGCCATGCTTAGTCATATTCACAATGGTACTAGCCATTTACTCGAATTAATGATAGCTATTTTGAGGATTTGTCTAGCGTCAGACGAGTGGGAGCTGTTATTCTATATGGCCTGTTTGCATAGTAAATAATTGCAAATTGCTGCTCGCGGTGCTCTGACACTTTTTTCGTTGTCATATCCGTTTCCATTCTGCCCTTCTTCTTCTCCTTCTTGTCTCTCTGCTTTTGAATATTTCTCCCCAATCAAGCCTGTCCGCTGACTGAGGCCTCGTGCTCACAATCTTCCGCCACGGTGTGCACAATGTGTGCACTGTCCTTTGCCATCAAAACTGGCATTTCAATTGATTCAATTCAGTGCGTCCATTTATGGGGCAATCACGCAACAAACAGTTAAATATTTATGCATTCCATTGCCAATCTATCAATTACTGTCTGGTCACTTATCCAAAATGCGTCGCCCGAGCAGGGCACGTCGACTGGCGAGTTTAAGACTCGCTGCGAAGTTAGGTGTGCCCACTTAATGCATCAGACGCCGGTTGCTGCACTCAAATCCTGGCGCGCAACCAGAGTGCACTGGGCAGATCCGTCAATGATTTAAAGGCTCTTTCGGAGAAAACATTTTTAAATGTCCATTTATTTTGGGAAGAACAAGTGGGCAAGATTTTACCAGGCTCAGTTTTTTAGGAATACACACACAGCACAGAAGGCAATAAAGCTCGTTGAACAACTTACTCAGTGGCTGAAACCATTGTGTAATCTGCATGACAGTAATTAATTGTCCACATTGTCCTTGCTCCCAAACAAAAGAACTGGTTGTACACCCTGGAAAGATCGCAATTCACTACCTGAAGGGCTGGTTTCTCATCGATATAGTCGCCGCCATTCCCTTTGACTTGCTCATGTTTGGCTCGCAGACTGACGAGGTAAGCAGCCTACTACTATGTGCACTCACTGTCTGTGTGTCTGTGTTGCAATCATTGACCCCTAAAAATGTTTGACATTTCACTTAGACGACCACACTCATTGGTTTGCTCAAAACGGCTCGCCTTCTGCGGCTAGTTCGGGTGGCTCGCAAAATTGATCGGTACTCCGAGTACGGTGCTGCTGTTTTGGTTTTGCTTGTCGCTGGATTTGCATTGGTTTGTTATTGCTTATATCCTTTTCACTGGTTTTTACTTTAACAAAAATGTTGGTTTTTATTTCCACACAGGTTGCTCACTGGTTAGCTTGTATATGGTAATGTCTTAACTGCATACTCCACTCAAAAAAATAACCGTCTTTTCCGGTTTGATAAGGTACGCAATTGGAAATGCTGAGCGACCAACGTTGCAGCGTAAAATCGGTTGGCTGGACCATTTGGCCAACAGCACATATCAATTTTACAGTAAGTCAAAATTTAAAGGGGGCTAAGTTTTTAAACGTTATCAAATGCTTTTAGATGATGATGGCACTGGCGGACCATCTCGCAAGTCACGCTACATTACTGGTAAAAATTATTTATGGTGTATTCTTTGGTTGGACATTACAACTTTTTGCCTGCAGCCCTCTACTTTACTTTTTCATCGCTCACATGTAAGTTTTTGTAATGCTCATTGAACTTCAAAACTTCAATATTCTTATTTCAGCTGTTGGTTTGGCTGAAGCGCCTGTCACCAATGCCGAAAAGGTTTTCTGTATTCTAATAATGCTCACTGGATGTAAGTACATTTTATTTTTTATTTAACTTTTTCCTTATTATAACGCCTCTTAGCTTTGATGTACGCATCTATATTTGGCAACGTTTCGGCCATTATTCAGCGTCTATACTCTGGAACAACACGTTACCACACCCAACTGCTTCGAGTTCGCGAGTTTATTCGATTTCACCAAATTCCCAGTCCTCTTCGCAAACGATTGGAAGAATACTTTCAACATGCATGGAATTATTCAAATGGTAGTAGATGCACTCAAACTGATCTATTGTACTGATCTAATAATTATTGTATTGCACATGCTACTTAGGCATCGAAACAAATTTGGTAAGCATCTAGTGAATGTTCAAATGAAGTACCTAATGTGCCACTTCTCTGCATAGGTTTTAAAAGGTTTTCCAGAGTTTCTTCAAGGTTTGTAGAGCAGTTAAGGGTGCAGGTTTTACAATATTAAAAATGCATTTTTTAAAATGTAGCTGACATCTGTTTGCACTTGAACAGAAATCTATTGCAAAACTGCCAAGCTTTTAAAGGTTTGTTTTCANCTTCAAGGTTTGTAGAGCAGTTAAGGGTGCAGGTTTTACAATATTAAAAATGCATTTTTTAAAATGTAGCTGACATCTGTTTGCACTTGAACAGAAATCTATTGCAAAACTGCCAAGCTTTTAAAGGTTTGTTTTTATTTTTTTTTTGAAGTAATGTGTGCAAACTAAACATTACCTTAACGACAGATGCTTCTCAGGGATGTTTGCGAGCATTCTCAATGAGGGTACGTAGACTGCAACTCAACTGATGATACAAATTAAATTTAACTAAACATTTTTGCAGTTCAAAACGACACACGCACCTCCAGGTGACACGCTGGTTCACAAAGGAGACGTGCTTGTCTCGTTGTACTTTATTGCGCGAGGCACAATTGAGATAATTATAGATGACATTGTCGTTGAAACACTTGGTTAGTACTGAAATGACTGGAGTGTCTGTGTACGTGCGCCGGCAGTGGCCTAATCGGACGGTAATTAACACAGGAAAGGACGATATCTTCGGGGAGAATCCACTAGAGACGCCCACAATTGGTAAATCGAGGTGCGATGTGAGGGCGCTCACCTACTGTGATCTACACAAAATTACTCGTTCTGATTTGTTGCAAGTTCTGGAAATGTATCCCGAGTTTGTAGAAGACTTTCAAAAGAATATCAATATAACTTATAATTTGCGTGATGAAACGCAGAAAGGGCTGCCTCTCCTTGATCGCAAAACACCTCATGTGCCTAATCCTCAAATAATGAACTGCTTTGATTCAATACAAAATGTAAATGATATGGATGAAGGTACAGGTACACGCATGACTTGCCTATGCTCAAAAGTTGTTCTAATCATTCATAACGTCTTCAGAAACATCCAGCAAAATTTTAGTTGAGCAGTCTTATGGTGACTACGATGATGACTACTTTCGAAGCACTCTGCGCAAATCGTTGCCAAGTCATTCGGCTTCAGGGATTTTGGAGTTTAGTCCAGAGAAAGCAGGATTAGATGTGATGCCAGCAAATTACAACTTTCCAAAAGTGCGTCCTAAAACGGAGAACAATTCACTGACAGGCATGATTGAGCAGCTCAAAAGAAGTGTCACTGATCTGACATTCGGTAATGTTTTGTTTCATTTACCTTTGACATTTTCTGCTAAACCAAATGTATTTTTTTATTTCAGGAACACTGACCATTTCAAATGCACACAATCGAGCAAGTCGTCCAGGAACCAAAGAAAAAGATAAAGAGAAAGAGAAGGAAAAAGAAAAGGAGAAGCACAGTCCACGACTGGGAGAGAATATCGTGGAGACGAGTAATCACTCGGGATCTAGTCTTAAATCAGGAGACAACTTGGTGGAGTACGTCAAAAGTCGAATGAACAATGAGTTGAATTGTTCTCAAGAAAGATACGACGTGCTTGAACGAAAACTGAGCGAAATCACCGGGTGAGCATCGCACTGAATGAATGCAAAATCTAACCGTAATGTTTGTGTTTCAATGAACAGGAGAATTGAAAAAATCGAGAGTCAGTTAGAGAGCGGCTTCGAGAAGATGTCAGAAACGCTGTCAGAGCTTAGCAACGTCCTAAAGAGCCACGACACGGAAGAGACACTAGAGCAGTTTACCAAGTGGAATCAGCTAGATCACTTGCCATGTATGTGTTGCGAGAAAAATGAATCCTCAATCGATAAATCATTTTTTTCCAAGGAAGAAGGAGAGAACACACTAGAGTGCGTGTCAAGCCTCGACAAGGAGACTTGCTTTCTGCTCACTCACTACTCGGAGCCAGTGCTCAGGCGGTCACTAGTCAAGTTGCGTCCACTGGGCACCACTAGGCCCAGCTGTAGCAAAAGTCTCTCACAGCTCTGGTTGGACCGGCTAAAGCTGTCCAATCTGTCGCACTTTGCCAAGAAGTAAAGAGAGCGTGCCCACATCACCACAACCCTCCTACTTCAACCTCAGGATTTTACACTTGATTTTGTACTTCTTCAATGCTTTCCATACAGTTTACACAATGTACAATGTTCCTTTTTATGATTGGCACCCTTTCAAGTGACCACATCAAGCCAACAATTTACACGCACCATGCAAGTTTTTTTGTAAAGTGTTTTCTAAAAGTTTAAACGTGTACCAAATGTATTAATAAAATGTTTGCNCACCATGCAAGTTTTTTTGTAAAGTGTTTTCTAAAAGTTTAAACGTGTACTAAATGTATTAATAAAATGTTTGTCTTTGTTTAAAATATCACTGCAAAAACAACAGTAAGAAAAAGGAAAATGTACATTGCCAGAGCAACCTTCAACGATGCACTGCCGCCGCATTGCTCAATTTCATCTTCCTGAAAATATTGATTTTCGGTAAAAAGTTTGTACAAAAAAACAGATATTGAACACTTACTATTTTGTGGTAGTTAAAACAAGTTTCAGGTCGTTTTCTGACATTTTCTGTTTCAAAAAGATTTTGAAAAAACTCGCATTTCTTTTTTTCTTTTTCAGCTAGATCGACCTGGTTCTGAATGGTTCTGATTGGAATGTTCACTGCTCTTGGTTCTAGTTTTTTAGTGACTTCAGGACAAGAGCAGTCATTAAAGAGAACAAGCATGATCAAATTTGAATGAGGAATGTATTGCACATGATAGTTCCTGAAAAAAAAGTAAAAATGGGTTTTAAAAAAATACAAACAAGTACAAAGGCTCTTACCGAGAACATAACTCGTTAGTTTTGCACTTGTGCACAAAATGCAGTGTCTGGTTTGAGAAGTTGATCAGATCGTACAAATCAATTTCTTTGTCGCAAGACCTTGGGTGACTTTTGTTTGGATTCGGCGGTGGACTTTCACTTTCACCATCACTATAATCCATACTAACCATTTCTTCTAGCCAAACAGGTAAGTAATCATAGGCTAAACTCAAATAGAATCTGACCAATTTAGAAGCAAACCAGGTGCCAATTTGGCGAATGTAGTGAAGTGGCGTGAGGAATGAAGTTGAGTGACTATTTGCGTTGTTTATCTCAATGCAAATGGCCTGATAATCGTAAAATCGCATCTTCCGGTAAACGCCCTGGCTAACCATGTCTTGCAGCAGATCATCATTGACGTCGCCAAAGAACATGCCCGTTTGATTAACTTCCTTGCCATTCTTTATGCCTTTGCTGATAATGATGAAGCCGTTATTATCGAGCACAAAACAGTTGAGAGTATCATCTGATAAGCAGTTGAGGTTGTGTTCTTTAGTTATCTTAAAGAATGCGTCTCGGAACTGCGTATGGTTGTACTGAAGGCCAATCACAGCAACTGTAAAATTATAATTGGTGTTACCTCAGTGGACAGTCTACACAGAGAGTGGTTCACTTACCAGGGGCGCTCATTTTGCCATTTCCTACGACGATGGCTCTACTAGCAGTGACTAAAAATTCTTCGTTTTTGTAAGCATTAAATGGAACGGAATAAATGAAGGCATTGTTTTTGAGGTAGTAAAAATCCACCGCCCGCTTGTAGTAGTCCTCTTCAATTGATCGGGCCAAAATGTTGTACTCGTGCTCACTGCGATTCCTAAAGTCATGGCTAAAGCACGGATTGGTGAATCGAGTCAAGCCACTTCGAGTGGAGACGAAAGCGTTCAGAACGTCGACACTTCCTTTAGTGCTATTGACAAACAAAAGATGACAAATGTGACAGTGAAACAGTGCACACAATGCTTAAGTGCTTTCTTACTTTCGCCGGTGACGAAGCTCAAAATCTCTACACGTGTCAAAGATATGAGTGGCGGCAGCATCGAAGATTAAACTTTGCAACAATTCTTTGTTACCTGCAAAAAAGTATTATACAAAATGTTATATAAAAATTGCAAACATACAAGTAAAGTTAGCATTGGACGGTGGGCTGCTACTGCTCGTCCGCCATCGAAATTGGTTCTTGGGCAACTCATTAATGAGAAACTGCAATAGTGCTTCTTCTGGTGTACTAGGCGCTGGACCGATGGATAGTTTTTGAGGATTCTCGCAGTATACCTGAAATGATTATACTTTTATTAGCAAACTTGGTAGTAAACTTCTTTTCTCACTAACCCATTCGGGATGAATACGCCATTTAGTACCGGTAAAGTAGCGAGTGTAGTTTTCGGTATTGTAACTGCTTCGCAAATCAGTTTGGCCGGTGAAACGAAATGAGCCATATGGTTCTGGCAAAGATATGGCAAAGCTGAAGGGAGTATTTTCTACACTGTCGTAAATGTAGTGCTGCAAACGAGTCAATGGTCGTTTCTGCAAATAAAAAGTTTATATAAGATACTACATTTAGAGACTACAATTACCATTGAGTCAACAAAAGTTCGAGTAGCAACTTTCTTTGATCCACGTTTACGATTAACCATTTCAGTACGAATCTGAACAATATTCGGATCAAATGTCTGTAACAAATTGTAGAGTTAAGTTTTTTTGCTGTTTGATCAAAAAGTTTTTATCTTACTCTCGATTCTTGTGTAATATTCCCCAATTCCACTTCGGTTAGATCTACTGCGCTGTAGAAAGGTTTCACCAAATCTTGAATTGCTGTAAAGTCTTGAAACTGCAAACAAATAGCATTTTAATTTAAATAATGGTAATTAGTTTTAATTCAAATTACAATCGGACTAAAGTTAGGATGGAATAAAACTTTTCCGTTGTTTGTCGTCATAAAAGAGTATCCGTTGACGCCGAGCTAATTGTAAAAAGATGTTTAGATTAAACATAAAAATGTTTTTTTGTGGTTTACCTTGAAAGGCGGTGCCATTTTTTCAATTTCTTTTATGGGAACATCAGTCCCAGCCACACCGAGTAAATTGGCAATTCGAGACTACAAACAAAAAGTAAAAAGATCCCTGATCAGGTAAATCTTATTACTAAACAAAAATGTTTACCGATTGTGGTTCAGAGTCAACGTAAACGTTCTTAAGCAAAATCTTCTTGATGACATTCTAAAACAAATAAAATTTTTAGCTCATGTAATTTCAAGAAATAAAACACACAACAACGTACAATATACTTGCGTTTATCAAAAACTGGCGTCGAAACTGTCGTCATAAGTTGGATCTGTTTACAAAACGATTTTAGAAAATTATTTTTGAAAAACATAACTTCTTTAAATTTACCTTTTTCTTCACTACTTTTTTAGCCATTTCTAACTCGGCATCAAAAATTCTTTTGCAAACCAAGTAAGTATCATCCTGATCGACGATTTCAAACTCATCTTCGTTGTTCGCATCTTCCCGGGTAACTTGTGCCAGATCACTTTTTGACCCATCTGCAGTAGCAACAGCGACATCAATGGCACTCTCTTCGCCTCTAATTAGTTTTTTCTCGTGAAGCTTAACTGTTAGTGCTTTCACTGTAATAAAGTTGTAAACTTAATTTTGAAATAGTTCAAAAGAGAATCTTTTACCAACCTCGTTCATCCCAAATCCAATCACTCAGTTGTATTTCCTAAAACATAAAATGGTCATTCAAATATTAAGATAATTTATGGATAAAAAGTACCGAGTAAGCAGTGTAGACTGGCGTCCAGGTAAAAATACGAGCGCCCGAGAGAACCAGTGGCCTACTCATAACAGGAATGTACTGGTGTACCTGTTCGCGCACTTCTGCTAAATTGGCCACTTGAGCATAGAACCCTGATGGTGACGGTGTAATGTTAGTGTTAGTTATGCAGTCAATAAAAACCAATTGTTACCTTTGTTATTGCATGCCATCCAATTGACCTCTTTGATCTGTGTAACATCACGACCGATGACGTAAGTGAAGATTCGAACTGATTTGTCAGCATTGTATTCTTTGAAAAGGGGTTCATAAGTTTCCGGCGCACCATCGGTGATCAGCATTATAGCTTGATTACATAGGGCGCCTTTTTTCTCACTAAAAACCTAAAAACAATTTACAAAGGAAATTAAACAGTTTACAAAGTTGTTTTTAATGACTTGCTTCTTTGAGTATATTGAATCCATCGATGAAGGCAGCAGTGAAGTTTGCAATATCGGCAGTTACAAAATTGTCCAGCATATATTTAACTTCCTGAAATGGTTCAAAGAGTTAATTTAAAAACGTTAAGCCATTTTTGCAAGCAAAACTTACTTGAACATTGCGCGGAGTTGCTTGGACCATGTGGTTAAAACACGGGTATACTGGCTTCACTTCTTTGGTAAACTAGATCAAGAAATGCATGTCAATAATTAGTAACTGCAAAAAAGTGCGCTTACATTGTAGACCACAAAGAAATCATTTTCAGTGAGTGTGTCCAGAATGTTGTTAACCACATTGAGAGCAATTGTTCGACGTTGTCCTGTCATTGAGCCACTGACATCCATTAGAATGACAACGTCTTTGGGTGATGCAGCAGTTTGAATGTACCTAAGAGGAGGATGTTCAATAGTTGGTAAGTGAAACAGTTTAAAAATATTGCTCTTTATCTTACCATTGACGCGTTCTGCAGTCGTACATGTCTGGAATTTGCGTTTTGCTTTGCCCTTCTGAATCAATTGGCGTTTTCCACTTGGAAGCTGAGATGAAAAATTATTAGAAACAGTTACAAAGATAGAACAGTTTTTACACACTTACCAGGATAGATTCGAATGAAACCTTTACTAGATCCCAAAAATTGCCACGACAATGTTGGGTCGTTGGCTAGGTTTAATTTGAAAATATCAATCAATTTTTCGGTTACTTGAATACCGTGAATAACTTCAGAAGAGTTCTAAATTTAAATGAATGGATTTGCTATTCAGTTATTTGGATTTTAAACAAGCATTTTTAGCTTACATCATAAACATTGACAGGGATGTGAACAGCGCTATTTTCGAGATTTACTAGAGAGTTGTCAAAGTTGGGATGAGCGCTTAGTTTCAAACGGTTTTCTCCTTCTGGTAATGTTAGGTTTTCAGTAACATCTGATTCAGAAAGGATTTTCTTCATGTTGTAGTAATTTGGATATTCAATGTCATCATTTTCTAAAAATAGTGTGTTAGTTAAACAAGTTAAAGGTAAAAACGAGTTGCCGTTTACCGTAGTCATGTTCATCCGATAACTTTTCGCTCTCATTGGCAATTCTCTCAACAGCTTCCCTTTTCCAGTTGAGCATGTTGATGAGATCAATTCTCATTTCTTCCATCATTTTTGTAGCATCTATTTGCTTCACTTCAGAACGATGTTTTAAGAATTTCTGTCAAAGTAACATTAGCGTCAGTTTGTTTACACGATCTCGGCTGTCGCGTGTTACCAACCTCACTGATCGACTTGAAGCAAATTCTATCATTGCCAAGGCTGAACATCTGCCCACCAAACTTGTTGGCTATTGTTATGATTCTTAGTGGAAAAAATGAAACGTTCATTCATTTTTGGGCGAAGATTCGTGAAGTGATACTTACGATTTGCTACTCTGTTCACATGTTGTTTTGCTGAGATAAATTAATAGCACTAAACAAGCATTTCTGAAGGCGGTTTTAATTTTAAAACCCGGTAGTTGACGAGTGAAAAACATGGTTAGCTGTAACTGGTTAGCTCGCTGAAGAAGGCGTGCACAGTTCAATTGAAGAAATGCGCCAGAAGAAATTGCATCACACAGGAAAAGGGGAGGAAAGAGGAATGCTTAGCAAAACAAACATCTCAACTACAGGATGGCAAAGTCGAAGTGAAGGGTGGGCAATTGTGGTGGTGGGAAATCGGTGGTAAGTGGAATGAGATTGCTAATCGCAACATGGCGATGGAGTAAGAAGCAAAGATGCTCTGGTGCTGACCATCTGCTTGATGGTTCGGGGAGTTTCCTCCATCAGCTGCCACAACTGTTGAGAATGTGTGTTGTGTGTGTATTCGCAGAGTGTTTGTATAGAGTGCCCAACCAGGCTCAGGAACAGAGCAGCCGTTGGGAGAGAGCTGCTGGTCGGTCAGAGAACCGGGAAAGAGTGGGAGAGTGGGAGAAAGGGAAAGAGAGGAAGACAAACGAGTGCACAGCAGAAGCGGGTTCGCCGAGTTTCAGTGGCACCATCGAACACTCTGACATGCGCCTCAAAGACAGAGTCTGCATGAACGTCGGTGGATTCTTGGCGCCAGACCGGCAGCGTACTCACTGAGAGTGCAGCAGCGGTTGCTGCTGCTTCAGAAACACCGGTTCGGTCAAATGACCGATTGACAGATCGGCATTTCCTCAAGCTTCACTGCAAAATTAATGAGGTGAAGACCACTTTGGGTTTTACATGCGAAGTTGTTTGCTGAACAGTGCACTTAGCTCCACTATTCAATTGTCAATCATTTTATATGTACTCGGTAATTGATATTTTTATTACCCCGCACTGTCTTAACAGCTAAAATTGGTCATCTGACAAACACGGAGATGTATCTTACTGCTTCAATTAGGACGTACATTAGAGACAGTAATGGTGTTTCTATTATTAATACTCGTCAACTAAAGTGATGCACTGTCAACAGGAAGCATCTGTTTGATCAGGTTGGTTGCGGCAATGAATGACGCCAACAGAGGAACACAGCGAGGCACGGGATTACTATTTAAAAGAGCCGCATCAGCTTCAGTGGCGCCTAACATCATTTCTGTGATCACATTGGTGCTCTAAACTCCCCAACTTTGTTACAAAAGCACACCTTCAAATGAGCCCGACAATGAACACCTTCCTACCGATGTTGGCTATCTTCCTGTGCGTCAGTCTTGTGCTGGCTGACTCGGATGACTGCAGCACCAATGAGTGTATTCTGAAGAAGTGAGTGTGCCTGTTTTGAAGTGTAGTTTATCGGCTTTCTAATTCAACTCTTGTTGATGTAGATTGATTCTCTTAGAGAATGAAGGGAACTCGGCAAATCGACTGGGTGAAAAGGCGAGTCTGATGACGGCAAAAGACGCTGGCAATCCGAAGTATAGTTCCTTCTACAAAATGGTGCAGAGAAAGTATCTCGACTCGAAGCGGGACGACAGTGCAGCTCGCAACTTCCAAACTCAAGGTTGGAAGTAGATTCTTTTTTTCACCCTTTCTACCATGTTCACCTATTCAGTACACAGAATATTGTTTTGCACAAGAAAGCATTGACTCCAGGGCACTCTTACCGACTATAGATTTGCGAACCTACACTCACCACACAGACAACTACTGGCGACTACACATTGGCACACTGGCACACTCACTTTGCCTGCTGTCTCCCCGCACATACACATAAGGAGGATGTTAAAGTGTGATGATTTCCCAATAAAGATGTTATGGTAAAAATGTTTAATTGTAAAATACTATGCGATAAAATTACAAATTATAAATTGCAAAATGAAAAATGAAATTACAGTGACCAGAAAATTAAACCAGAGCTCAAACAGTCTGAGCGCATTTAGGTTCAGAGGAGTTACTCCTTGCGAGGACGACGCTGGCGAGGAGAGGTGCGAACGGCCTTGTTGGTGACCTCCACCACTTCTTCCTCTTCGGCCTCCTCCTCTTCTTCTTCGGTCTCCTCACCGTCATCCTGATCCTTCTGAGGCTCCGGCTCCGGTTCCTCTTCTTCCTCCTCGATCTCCTCGATCAGAGGCTCTTCCTCGGTGATTTCATCGTTCTACAAAAAGAGAAGTTAAAATGTACTCTAAACTGAAAAGAGAACATTATATATCATTACCTCTGGAATGACGTCCGGAGAAGTGTAATCGCCCTTTTTAGCTCGAGCAGCATCGTAAGCATCCTCTTGGCGCTTCTCCTTACTCTTGATCGGAGAAACACAGCAGAAGGCAATAAAAAGCACAACTGGAATGCCAATGGCAAACAGGTAGACCGCCCACATCCACGGATTCTTGTTGGCGTGCTTCATTGCCTTGATGAGGATGTTGTCGGTCTCCTGGTCGGTCATTTCCTTCTTGACCTCATAGGTCAGTGAAGAAACCAGGTTGGCAATCTCAACGTCGTCGGTGATGAGAATGTTGTCGAAGGCAATGTTGTCCGAAATGGTCCACAACTCGAAGGCCACTAAAGTTATAATTACACAACGGTTACCCATGCTTCAATACCCCAAATCTAAGGTCTTACCGGCATCAATGGTAGCAAGAGTCTTGAAGGGAGTCAAGTCCTCGTAGAAATCGGGGTTCGGGATCTTGCGCGGAGTCCATTTGCCCTTGTAGGCAGGATTGGCAATCAGAGGAGCCTTCCACTTGCCCTTGTACTTGGGGTTGTCCACCAAAGGAGCCGACCACTTGCCACATCCAGCAATGGAGGCGCACTTGGGATTGGAGATCAGAGGAGCTTCCCATTCACCGTCCATTTCAACGTCCCAATCGGCAGGCTGTTTAGCCTCGGGATCAGCAATCATGTCGGGCTCATCCTCTTCCCAGGTTTCAGGCTTGAAGGCATTGGGGTCTGAGATTTTGCGTGGCTGTGACTCGTCCCAGTCGTCAGGTTTAACTAAATGGCAATACTTTTAAGTGACATCTAGAATTACATAGATACAAACGTACCTGCATCAGGATCGGGAATTTTCTCACGCTCATCCCAGTCTTCCGGCTTGAAGTCGTTAACGTCGTCAATAGTCTTGGGCGGGTTAACTGGTGGCTTGAAATCTTCCAGAAGCAGACCAGACTGGGCGACTTGCTTGTCAACTGACACTTTGAACGAGTTGTCCGGATAGATCTCAAGCTTCAACTGATGCCAGCGGCCGTCTTTGAAAACCTAAATAAAAATCATTGTAATTAACAAAGGTGACTGGTCAAGAATAAAAGTGAACTTACTTCCTCTAATTTGCTAACGCTACCGGCCTTTTTCCAGTGCTTCTCGGAAATGGTTCCGTTCTTGGGATTCTTGTGGTTGAAAATAAAGTGCAGCTTGTTCTCGTTTCCGCACTTGTCAGGGCCGAACATGATCGAGTACTGTGACTTGTCGTTCAGCTTGCTGAGATCACCCGAAGGAGCAGCGAGAAGCTTAAGATAGGCACCGCCACACTCTTGGCCGTTTCGAAATTGAACCTAATTCAGGCAAAAAATGTTGGTAAGGTAAAAATAAAGCACCAGAGCTATTACCTCATATTGAAGAACAAAGGGCTTGGAGTTGAATTTGAACGGCTTGTTGAGTTTAGCACTGTACGCATGGTGGCGAGCTTTGCTCTGTGTCATCAATGCGAAATCACCTAGACAAAGGGAGAGATAGAGATATAGCGAAAGGATCGTAATGGATAAAGCCGCATGTACGTAATAGAAAATAGGAATACAGCCAAAACAGATGCAACCAAGACTATTTTTAGCGCTTGCTCAAAGAATGCGTAGAATAAGAGACGCAGAGGATGAATGGTTGCGGAGAAAGAGCAAGAAAACAAAAGAGTACACTGGGAATACAAGTGCAGAAGATGCAAAAAGTCAATTCAGATTACCGAAAAAAATCGGCAGTGAATCAATGAATGTTTGCTGAGTCATACCTTTGAGAGGAGCTTGGGTTTCGACGCGGGCCCACTCGCCGTCGTACTTGAGCTCAGACGAGTCGCCCTTGTTGGAAGTCGATTTGACCCATTTAGCGGCGAACTGGTCGGGATCATCAAAGTGCTCGTACAGAAACTGGCCCTCGATGGCAGGAGTGGAATAGTCAATTTGAGCAGGGGCAGGAGGAGGGGAGCTGTCGGCGGAATCATCCTCAGAATCATCGACCGGCGACGGCTCCTGAGCTAAGGCCAGGCCGAGCAGGCCGAGCAGGAAAAGGCAAGTGAAAGAGCGGAATCGCATTGCGGTTCCAGCGGTGAGAGGGGGCGTTTGCTGATCGGGGAGATGATCTTTAGTGACTCGAAGACTAGAGAGATCGGCGCGAGAAAAGGCGCCGGAGAGGTGAAGCGATAGTGTTGGTGTGATCGAGCGAGATTGTGATGTGCTGAATGTGTGTGTGTGTGTGTGTGCTTAGCTGTGCTTAGCGAGGGCACTTCTCCAGAGCGCCGCAGTGTGGCGCTTCCGCATGCCGGTTGCAGGCGCCCCGCAGCTGCCAATTCTTTCATCCTCTTAATTGTTTTCCACTTAGTCTAATTAATTCCCTCTGTCTGCAATTAAGGTTTGAAGGTAGGCTACCTTAGAAGGCATGACCTTTTTATTATGTGGTGTCGACACCAGTTGTGGCAGGTCGGACTAGTCAGAATCAGAGGAGGCACTTTCGAGTTGCACTTATTTGTACGGCTAAAAGGGCAGGCCTGACATGCAGACAGTCGCTGATTGCATCTGTGAGTTACCGCTACAGCATCTACTAGATCATCGCGCGTCATCCTTTAGCTGCTTGGCGCCTGACGGAGTCGTACAAATGATGCCGTGTCATTGTTGTAGCTGTTGCTGCGAGTGATTCTGTCTGTCTGTCGGTGTGCCTTTGTACGGCAGAGCACGGCCAAGTCGGCGGTCATTGACGGCTCATTTCTCTCTTCACTTCGGTGGCTGCCACGCGGCGCCTTCAGCACCGAAGTAAATCGATGCTGATATGAAAGAAAAGGAGGAAAAGCGCAGCTGATAGCGCCCTGGTTGCACTCACTGGTCAGTGTGACTGTTCCTCTTCTTTATCAACCACAGCTTGGCCAGCTAAAATCAACCGATAGCGGCAGATGGCGACGCCACTGTGAAACTCCAAAACTGACTCAGTGGACAACTGTGAAGGCACAGAAGCGCCGCGATTGGCTGAGTGGCGACTGGAAAAATCCTCGCACAAGATTGGCTACGTTGTCAGCGTTGGCTCGCTTTGCAAAACTCGCTCGTCAGCAGAACCTGCGTCTCCTCTCTCTCTTTCTCCCTCTGCCTCTTGCGTCGTTTGCACACCGCTCACACACTCACTCTCGCGCCGTCCAAGTGTTTACGTGTTTACGTGGCAGCAACTCGACGACTCTCTGGTCCGCCATTTAGCCTCTTGACTTTGTTCCAACGCCAGCAACCCACCAGCAGCAAGATGGTCAAGTCCCAGCGAATGCGTGTCGCCAACGAGAAGGCCTCCAAGAACGTTACCCAGCGCGGCAACGTCCCAAAGAGCACGGTAAGTCGCTTTAAAGAGCCGGGCCAGCTGGTGACGCGTCACAACAAAACAGAGTTTGTTGTTATGCTAATTAATTGACCGATTTGTGGCCCTCACAACGCTCATCTTTCCACCTTTGTTACTACCTTCCCAACAGAAAAGCGTCGAAGACAAGTACCCGGTTGGACCATGGCTGCTCGCTCTCTTTATCTTTGTCGTCTGTGGCTCTGCACTTTTGCAGATCATCCAGAGTATTCGAATGGGCTGAAAAGTATCATCCTTTGCTATGGACTCGTCTGAAGAAGTCATTCCAAGACTGTACAAATTTCTTTTTAAAAGCAAATGCTGATAAGTTTGCAAATGTATATTTATGACTAAGAATAAAAAGTTGGCTTGTTAAAAAAAGTGGAGTAATTGTTGAATGTCATGTGATTGGACAGGTGAGTAGAGTATGATAGTAACGTATGGATAGTATGGATAAGTATGGTGATAAATATGGTAGATTATGTGTTCTATTTACTTGTGGTGGCTAAATCTGCCTGAGAAGAGAGGGTATCACTCGGCCATTTCCGAGCCCTCCTGGTCTGATTCGCCTTCCAGCTCATCGCCTGCAAAAGATAACATCATAGTAACAGATTAGCACTGCTCAAACAGCAACATAGAAGGCTACGTACCATCTTCTTCGCGTCCCCTCTTCTTCGACTTGTACTGTCGACCAGGGGTGCGATTCAGTGGCAATTCAAACTCATTGTGCTGCAGACTGGAACGATAGCTGATAAGGGGTTGCCACTCGTCATTGTGTACACCGGGAAGAGCGTTCTTCACATATCGATCCAAGTATGCAAGCCTATGCAAAACAGGGGAAAATTAAAAACAATCTCTCTAAAGACAATGATAGTTACTTACACTGTCTTTTTATCGATTTTGATGAGCTTGTTGGAAAACTCAATGATGATCTCCAAAAATGGCAAGTTTGGCGGTGGTCCAAGGGGATTTTCCGGATTCTCCAGTGTGTTGAAGGTAAAGTGAATACCCTCACGGTGCAGTGCAGCAACAGCATCTCGGTTCTTCATGTTGTCCAATCCAAAAGATAGGGCAAAACGTTTGGCCAGCTCTTTGAGTGATTGAAAGTTTTCGTCCTGTTTGGTGAATGCAATAGTGTTTGGATTGCGGTTGGAGCTGTCGTTTCTCATTTCCAGGAAGGTCGTAATCAAAGCGGTGGCCATCGTCTTGGCGCACATGACCTTGTTTATTTCCCGAGTTTTGCCAAGCGTAGTCTTGATGATGTCGCCGTAGTCGTTGTAAAACTGGTTAAACACAATTAATTCATTAGTAAAATGGTAAACACACTACAAAGCACACTATACCTTCACATAGTGCTTGATAACACAGGCGGCGTGTTTGATTGGAATGACATTGTAGACAATTAGCTTGCAAAAGGCAGACAAAAAGTGTCGCCGCTTATGCAGTATTTCGATATTGGATTTGTTTGCACTGTTGGTGGCGTCTAAGTGAAAGAAGGAGTTTCAACGGTAAGCAAAATGATTTACATTACCATCAAACTGCAACTTACCCTCATCAGTGTCTACAAATACACGAGTTTGAATAAAGTTTTCAAGCATCTTGATAAGCATTGCATCAGGTTTGTAGACAAGATGGGCGGCAGCTGGAGATTCCGTCTCATTATGATGGCTGAAAATGATCAGCAAATCGCAAATGGAGATGTACGCCTGAAATGAATAATATTAAAAAACTGCAAAAAAAAGTTTCAAAAAAGCAAACTTTCTTACCTCTTCCTGCAGTTCATCGTTATGCCAGTTCATGAGAGAGCGAATCTCGTTCATGAAGGACTGTAGCTTGGTTTTGATTTGCATTCCCCTGTCCGAGGCTGAGCGCTGTTCAGTCAGTGAGTGCAACTCCCAGATGAGTCCCATGTGGCATGAAATGATGGCGTACTTGATGGCCAACATGGGCAGTGTCTCGCCGTCAGTGTTGGCAGCACGAATCCAGCGCTTGAAAATGTCATCCCACAGTGTGAGATTGGTGAGATCATGGCAAGCGTAAAATACGGAGATCTTTTTGAGCTGCAAATTGACCATCAGTTTCTCCTCCTCTCCGGTGGGATTCTGGGTGTACTTTAGCACTGCGTCTTTATACTTGTTACACATGTCATCGATGAGTGTACTCTTGTGGGTGCTCACTGCGCGACTAAAAGAGAAGTTTTCATCGTAGAGATACTCGAACGTCTTGGCAGCCACTTCGAGCACATCTTTGTCAGAGTGAATTTCCACTATTTCGCTGATTAGGCGAAGCAGACTGTCCAGCGAATCCTGGTGCTTGGAAAAGTGATTCAAATCGAGATTCTGCGGAATGGTCAGCAAATTGGCGACCTTTTCCGCGTCAGTCTTGTACTTGTTCAGCAGCGAAGGAAGGACCGCTATGAAGTGTTCGGATATTTTATTTTTATCTTCCGCCAGCGCTTTTGACTCTTTGGCAGTTAGCTGCTTTCGCGCAGAGCCTCTACCCACCGGTGGCTCGCAAGTGGACGCCTGCTTGATGGAGCACACCATTATTTCAATGAGCGACGTCTCCTGGCGATCATCCAAGGCCTCCTCCTCAGGGCCGGGTTCTTCGATGAGCAGGTCGGTCATGCACTCCCAGTCCTTCATCATTGGGTGGCTTTCAATGAGACTGTCCACCAGGTAAGCACCGTGTTCGTGGAGTTCACTTTCAATGTAAAACTGAATCAAATCGCGAATCAGTGGAGTGTGTACTGAGCGCTTTTTTCCCCGGCGACTTCGCAGATTCTCCGTGGCCTGTTCGTCCACCTGGAAGAGGCGTTCATTGAGGAACTCGCCCGCCATCTGAGCGACTGCGCGATTAGTGGCGTAAACCAGCTCGTAGACGTGTTCACAGTCTTTGTCGGAGAGCACATCCCGGTGGTGTTTGTGAATGTGGATTACCAGCTTGACGGCCATCACCGCCACTTCGGGCTCTTTGTCCAGTGTCATCGAGACGATGCGGTCCTTAAACTTGTTGGTGAACAGTTCCATTTTGCGAGTAATTTCTTCACTCTCATACAGTGGAAAGAGGGCTTGCAGGCATTTGAGGCGCACATCGCCCACCTTGTCGTGAAGGGTCCAGCCGACGTACTTTAAGTAGGAGTCGTCGAGAAACATATTAGGTAGGCGCTTCATCCAGACGCCAATTTCAATCATACAGATTGAGCGAATTTCGGGGAAAATATCGCGGTAGCGATGAACGAAAATTGACTTGAACAAGTAGCCGAGCATCGTTCGTATGTCGTCATTGTTCTCCTCCAGCTCGGATCGTTTGGCCATCAGCATGTCCAGTCGCTCTGAAGAGCGTTTGTTCAGGCCAGCATTCTTCTGGCGCTCCGCTTCGTACTGTCGCTGTGTGCTGTCCATGTTGATGCCCACCGTCAAGGCGACATCGACCATGGCACTCATCAGCTTCATGGCTGCCAGTGTGGCGGTGTGTCGGAAGGCGCGAACTTGCGAATCGGAGAGACCAATCAGCAGGGCAATGAGGCTCTCCATTAGATGCTGGTCGTAAATGATCGAGTACTGACATTGGCGAATGAGCGTGTGAATGAACTCGCAAAAGTTGGAACGAAACTTTTTCCACTGAGGTCCGGTAATAATGAGTGGATAGTCGCCCGATTCTTCATCAAACTCATCCACCAAGTGGCGAATGATTTGTGCATTATCGTACGCTTGACGCATCTGAACGGTGATTTTGCCTTTGCACCCGGAAGAGCGGACGAAAAAGTTCATCAGCTTGACCATGCCATTGTCACGGTCCTGGCGGTAGATTTCAATCCACTCATCGACCACTGACTGCAAGACAGAGCGGCCCTCTCGGACAATTTCATACAGACTGTCGGCATCTTCCAGATTCGGTCTGCTGGTGTTCAGCGGGTCGTAGTCTTGTGTTCGATTCATTCTATCCACAGCTCGACCGGGTGGACGACCTCGAGGGCGACCGCGTCCTCTGCCGCGTGGCTTTTTGCGGAACTCCTCGTCGTCGGTGGAATCTTCGGTGGCGACGGAGGCCTCTGGAACGTAGTCGGTCGAGTGCTCGTTGTATGTCGATCCTTCTGCCGGGTGGAAGCTGCTGGTGCGCCCCACATTCGAGTCCATCGACTCATGCTGGCTGCGATCCGGGTAAATGCGCGTTCGGGGGCGTCCTCGCGGCATTCTTGCGGCGGCCTTTAATCGATCCGATCAATTACTCGTCACTGTAGCTGTGCAACGGCGCCGGCGATAACAGGAGCACGTAAGGGCGCGAGGAAACGGCAGACAGGAGGAGAATCGATTCAAAAACACAAAATATATCAACTTGTCACTGAAGTTTCCAGTGGAGGGAAAACTGAGTTTGTTTTGCACGGCGCCCCTCCGCAGAGAACGTTACAGAAATAAGGCGGAGACCAGGTTTTTGTGATTGGAATCCAGGTTTTGGGAAAGGGGATTCTTTTGTAAACGAAGTTTTTGGTATTGATTTGTAAAATTGGTTTATTTGGGAAATCTGAGTGTTTACTTTTATTTTTTGGTATAGGTTTTCACTTGTAGGTAGACCAACAATCATTAGTAAAATTAGTGCCGGCTGTGTTCCAAAGTTGCAATGCTAGTTTTAGTCTGGTTCAACACAATAATCTTTATAAGTCAGCGGTGTCAAAGTCGCCACTGCCAGTTCCCTTTTTTACCTCAAGAGTCAGGCCTTTTGTGAGCCTCTTTGAAGTTGGCACTGACACATAGACTGGAAAGCAGCAGAGCGTGAATCGACGACAATCTTTGAGAATTACCACCACATGGTAATTAGGAGTCGATTGTGCTACACTGCTGCAGGTGCAGTGAAAGTCGGCGGCACTGCGAACTGGTTGTCTGGCCGAGAGCAGGTAAACGCAACAGGCAAATTACGTGGCTACTCGTCTTTGCTGACCAAAGGAAACCAGCGCCAGACTTTCCTACAGGTACAGTGTAATTCTGTGACCAGCTGGGACCACCTCAAAAGACTGACATTTTAGGGGCGATTAGCTGAACAGGTGTCTAGAACATGACCTCTTCCCTTTCTCTCTCTCTCTCTCTCTCTCAGACTGTCATTTCAGGTATCCAAAACCTGTGTTGAAACCATTTGCCCACTAATGTCTGTCACCGACATTTACAGTGGAGCTGCTGGTGCACGTACAGTGGTGTCCCTTTAGTTTACTCTTTGTTTTCCATATGCTAGAATTGTCTACCAAAGATCAGTCGATGACCAGGTAGTTGATGAGGGGAGGGAAAAAATGTACAGCAAAAAGGATAGTCCTCGGCGAGGATTCCTCTTCTTCCCCCGGTGAGTGCACGAACCAGGAGAGGACTGTCTGTAGTGCATTGAGTGAGCAGCGTTGGTGACGGTGGCGGCGGCAGTGGTGAATCGTCGACAGAAGAGTGTGCGAGGGCGCAATCGCGGTAGCAGCGGCGCTGTTTCGCTCACATCACTGTCTCTGTCTCTCTGTCTCTGTCTCTCTATCTCTCGCTCTCTCTCCTCTCTGCCTCGCTCCCTCTGTGATCTCTCGCCCAGTGTCTGCAGACTCGCAACTTGTCATTTTTCGCCTGACTTATTGTCTCGCCTCTGATCCCTGATCCCTTTACTCCTCTCCTCTGCCAACTCGCCCCTTCCCTACCGCCAATTCAAGCAACACCATGGACGAACAGTACGACGCCATAGTCCTCGGCACCGGTCTCAAGGTAAGCAATCGGACTGTCGCTGGGCACTCTCTCCTGCCCAGACGTCGCTATTGTCCCTTCTTTCATCAGGCCTGGATGCGGCCTTTGCGGTCTAGTGCATCCTCGTCCTTTCCGCCGTCTCCGGTGCCTGTGTCAGCCCCACTCACCACTTTATTGCCTTCTAGGAATGCATCCTCTCTGGAATGCTGTCGGTCTCGGGCAAGAAAGTGCTCCACATCGACCGGAACAAGTACTATGGCGGCGAGTCTGCGTCAATTACACCCCTCGAGGATCTGTTTGGCAAGTTTGGCTTCGACTCTACCACTGTCAACGTCGAAGAGTACGGTCGATCCCGGGACTGGAATGTGGATTTGATTCCCAAGTTTTTGATGGCTAATGGTACGTGTTTCGACAACAAAAAGTGTCGCTAATTGTTTTTAATCTTGTTTTTTACTTCAGGATCTCTGGTCAAGCTTCTGATTCATACTGGAGTCACGCGCTACCTAGAGTTCAAGTCTTGCGAAGGAAGCTACGTGTACAAGGGGGGCAAGATTTTCAAAGTCCCAGCCGATGAGAGGGAGGCACTTGCTTCAAGTAGGCACAAAGCTAATCAATTTCAATTCACCGTAATTTGACACTTTGAATCAATCACACAGGCTTGATGGGACTGTTTGAGAAGCGTCGCTACCGGAGCTTCTTGGTTTTTGTGCAAAACTTTAACCTTGATGACCCAAAGACCTGGCAGGCGATTGACCCAAACAAGACCACTGGTGCCGAGCTGTACCAGTACTTTAAGCTGGACAAGGAGACGGCCGACTTTACGGGTCACGCTCTGGCCCTTTATCGCGACGACGAGTAAGTGTGGAGCAGTTGGGACACTTAGGGACATCATTTTAATCGCAACAATTTACTTTCCAACTAAAGTTACCTGCAAGACACCTGCTTGGATCTGATTAATCGCGTGAAGCTGTACAGCGAGTCGCTGGTTCGCTATGGCAAGAGTCCGTACCTGTATCCGCTTTACGGCCTGGGCGAGCTGCCGCAAGGTTTCGCGCGTTTGAGCGCAATTTACGGAGGCACCTACATGCTGGACAAGCCAGTCGATGAGATTGTCTTTGAAAATGGCAAGGCGGTGGGAGTAAGATCCGGCACCGAGGTGGCCCGCTGCAAGCAAATTTATTGTGATCCATCCTATGTGCTTGACCGAGTTGATAAGGTGGGTCAGGTCGTTCGATGCGTTTGCATTCTGAACCATCCCATTCCAAATACAAACAACGCTCTCTCCTGTCAAATCATCATTCCCCAGAAACAAGTCAATCGAAAGTCAGGTAAGCTTTTTGAAGAAGCGGTTTGGTGTTGATCCAACTAACATTTGTGTGCTATTGCAGATATTTACATATCGGTTGTCTCCTACACCCATCAAGTGGCCGCCAAGGGGTGGTTCATTGCGCTGGTTAGCACAACCGTCGAGACCAGTAACCCCGAAGCTGAAATTGTCCCCGGTCTAAACATTCTTGGTCCAATCAAGCAAAAGTAAGTTTTTTTGTTTACACTTTGCTGAATGAACTTTTCCTAAATCGCCCTATTTTCTTGCAGGTTTGTCATGGTCAGCGATTTGTACAAGCCAAAGGACGACGGCAAGGAAAGCCAGATTTTCATCTCGCAAAGCTTTGATGCCACCTCACACTTTGAGACCACCTGCAATGACGTTGTCGACATTTTCCGTCGTGGCACCGGCGAGGACTTTGACTTTTCCAAAGTAAAGCTTGACCTTAACGAAGAACAGTAGGGGAAACTAGAGGGGAACACTATCTATACAGCACACACCACAGCACGAGACACGAACAACACTGATTGCAAGGACACTTTTTATCCAACTAGAGAAGAGCAACTTCTTTTCCTTCTTTACACGCTGAAATTGAGCCTGGAACCTTCTTTTCTTCATTTACCCTAAATTCCTTAGATATACTTGCTGCTGCTCCTTTTACCAATAAAGATTACCAACTTGATTATGTCCACGACAACAGTTGTGTTGATGATGAGGATGCCGGCACCGGCAGTGGGTGTCATTTTGTTCGTCTTCAAGGCAGAGTGCGCCTTCACTGCGGTGGTGAGTGGGCCGTTCAGAACCCACCGAACTGTGCTGTGAAGAAAGGCCGCTGGTGGGCATTCTCTCCCCAGTCTCACCTGAGTTCTCGTGTGTGTGTGACATTGCTGCGGGTGCTGCTGTCTTTCAGACATCACAGTCCACCACAACAATCGCTTTGCCATGGAGTCAAACTCCTCTTCGACCGGAAAAGTCACCGTCAAGCAAGTAAGCAGTATTGTACTGTTGACCGTTGTGCAGACTCTAACGTTTGTTTGTTTTTTTATCTACTGAGCACAGCTGCCTCTCTATGAGAGCTGTTGCGGCGGAAAGGGCTGCAAATCAAAGACGCCTGCTCCAAGTATTCTAGAGCCCTATGTACGAGAAGCCAGAGAGGAGTGCGAAGGCTTCATTAACCCAATTGTAGGCGACTATCCACAAAAGATTCGCCAAGAGCTTCAGTCTTCAGTCAAGTTGGTCAAGGGTATGTTGTTGTTGCCTATAACGTTGTTTTACCGAATCATCAAAATGTATTTCCGTTTAGAGTCTATCGAGTATTTGCAAGATGATAAGAACCAAGCCGCAAGGGCTGCGTACATCACGGCAGTTGGTTTTCTGGGATTTATCATCGCTCGAAGAGGCATAATCAAGCGCACAACATATGCCTTGATCGGTGCTGGTGCAGCTGCTGCTCTCTGCAATCCTCCTCTCGCAAAGGACTATGCCGAGATAAGTTATTCACTGGCAACGAAGAAAGTAACTGAACTCTACAACCAATACGGAGGTTTGTGTTGAATATTAGTAACACTCAACTAAGTTTACACTTGACATCTCTTTGACATCTCTTGTTTACATATTTTCTCCTTTTCACCAGGCGTCAGCTACGAGGACATTAAAAAGCTCAATTTGAACCCATTCGAGAGCAAATCGGACAGTCCGGCGAAGTGAGGTGGTGTTGGTGGTTGCCTTTGCATCATTGTTGATTTACTTTCTCCTTCTGTGTACCTATGCAAAATAGTGATACTGTACTGATTATTAGAGTATAAAAAAGCCTTCTGGTGAACTACTACGGCACTTGCATTCGTTTCTATGTTTGAAGAGTTAGCCAAACTGTGCTATTTGTCTCGGTGTTTGCCTGCCTCATCGGGGACCATTGCATCGGCAGCGGCGGCGGCGGGACACCCAAATATTGGTTCTCGCCGTGTTGCAGAAGTGTGCGTGTGTGCGGCAGGCAGGAGAGAGCGAGAGAGGTGCAATTTGCAAATGGTGCTCTATTATGGAGCGATGCAAATGCAATTCTGTTTCAATTATTTGGACTGTAATGAAAAGGAAAGGAAACAAATGCAGCAGCAGTGGCAGTGACGGCGGCAAGTGAAAGTCCTCAAATCGACGACGACGACGGAGCCGACGGGCGCACTTGCTTGGAAGGGAGGAAGGCAAGGGAATGCAAAGGAATGGGACCTGGCGAGGATGCCTGTCGTAGCAGAAGACTATAAAAAGGCCACGCAAAGTGGGCTGCTGTTGCCATTCGTCAGCCGTCGGCACCAGTGAGCACACACCTCGGCCCTTTTAGCTTCTACCTGGAAGCGCCGATGATGAGCACTATTCACACCATCGAACATCTTTACTTGGCACTTTGCAGCAGCAACAGCGGCACCAGTCAGAAGTCAGACGGCAGTGTCCTGCGAGCCCACTTTCCTCCTGGTAATGTAATCTAATAAACTTAATAATGTGCCCTAATTGCATTAAACATTCAATTTGATTTGATTGAACGCTAATTTGCTTTGAGGTAAGTCCATTTACTAACTGCAGTTTACTGTGAGGTTGCCAGTTGCTGAGAGCATAGACTTTTTTTCTTAATTGTCCCACTTTGAAACTGCCTAATTTGCCCATTTACCAATTTAACGCGTCAATCTACCCCATTACTGCATGTTGAAGATTGCTGGTCTTTTTTTTGTGTGGCGCCGCAGGACAAACTGATCAGCATCAGATTTAGCACAGATTGCGCACAAGTGGACATCCGCCTGAAGGCGATTCCAGTGCAACGGAATCTGTATGTGCGTAGTGTAAGAAGGAAGTGAAGAAGAAGCAGGGGACTACCTGCCAGCAGCAAATGATTGTGTCTAATGGGCCGCAATGAGTGTGCGGAGAAAGGCGACACAGTTACCGTAGTGGCTCACTTCCTGGCCAGCGGCAAACTCGGTCTCTCTCTCTCTCTTTCTGAGCACTGCGGCTCCATTGAGACCTATTCACACCGGCGCACCGATTGGCAGTGCTGCGATTGGCAGTCTTCATGACAAATGTGCGCCGGTGTGCTCCATCGGCACAGTGTAATTCAGGGTAGAGCACCAGGGGAGAGAGAAGGCAGGCAGGCATTGAAGAAGGAGTGAAAGAAGAGGGGAGAGAGCCCTGTCGGTGATATGCTAATAATGAGTTGTGGCTGTGTCAACAAGCTTGTTTCGGAAAGACACTTGCTGTTCACGTCTGCTGTTTCATTTCGATTCACTCGCTTGTTGGGCGCCCCCATCCGCCGGGCGTCTGTTTGCCCACTTTCAAGCATTGCAGTGTCAACACATGTGTGCTTGTGTGTGCCAGTCCCTGTTGTTTTGAACCTCTTTCTTGTCTGTGGGCCGCGAGCGCGGCAACTGTTCCGGGCAACTACAGTTGTAGCTTTATTGTATTCGAGACCGCGTCGCTAAATCAAATGCAAGAGTCGATGAAAAGCATGTTCGAACTCTGTACTTACTACCTAGTACTAACCTCATTAGTGCAATGTAATGTAATGCCATTACAGTGCCAGTAGTCCTTTCCTCTTTGTCCCCTTCCTGGCTGGTCTATTTGCTATTTGCTATTTTTTATTTTTTGTATTTCTACTTGATTTTCTACTTATTTGAGCTTATTATTATGTCAACAGAGGCAATAATAGAAAATAATTCAATCATAATTGAATTTGTATAGGCAAATAGAAGAGGGAAGATGCCTGCGCACAGGAATTTGGCGCCAACTGCAAACACCGAGTCCATTTCTTTCTCTCTACATTTCAAGTCCTATTCGAATAGAAGTGGGAAGGAGGAAAGAGCGACAAGGTAGCTTTGTTTCACCTGCCCGTCTGTCTCTGCTAGCCTTGCTTTCCCTTTTTTCTATTCTTTGCACTGTACCCCAGTCCCAGTCCACTTTAAATCAACGGCAAATTAGTGTTTGCCTTTCGGATCGTCGCTTCGCCACTCTCCGCATCTGGCTTTTATCAATTTTCTTTCCATTTTCTTTGCCTTTTCTCTTTGCAGTGCAGCCAAGTGTCTCATGACCGATGGTGAAGAAGGTGCCGAAGTAGAGGGGGGGAGGAAGAGATGCTGCCGGCTCGCTAATTAGGTGACAAAGTGTGCACCGCCAAATGGACGAGGAAGGGAAGAGTTCGATTAATGAGCTGCAACTGGCACTGGAGGCAGTCTGTGCAGGCTGTCACCTGCTAATTGAAATGCTGATTGGCACCACTGCCGCCACCACCACCACCACTGACTGACGGGCATAAAGTGCATTAGTAATGGCCCCTTCCACCTTCACCCACTGCTTCACCCCCGTTGAGCCCTGGGCACCACTGGCGGTGGCTGAATCGATTGAATTCAATGGTGGTTAGACTGAACTCGTCCATTTGTTTTCTAGCACCATACTGAATTCAATTGATACAGCCACTGCACTCTCAACACATCTGTCAATGGATCCGGTTTGTCGCGTAAATCAATGCGACTGAAGCAAAAAAAACAATAAAAACAACATAGTAGGATACTTTTTATCTTTCTTTTTCATACAACGTCTGTTTACATTGAAATAAAGTGAAAACAAACAAAAGTTTAGAAGTAGTCATCAAAATCGTAATCCTCCTGCACGTTGACTGAACTCTGAAACTTATTGGAAAGTTTTGCATCTCGCTTTCGCTGTTTCTTTTCCTTTTTAAAAAGCAGCTTTTTGGTCTTGTTAAGCTGCATCCCTTCGAGTTCTTCCATCTCAACGTCGTCATTGTCATTAGCAGACTGGCTGGCTTTAGGCTTCACAGTGTTGTTGAGAACAATGCGACTGCTGTTTACCACAGATGCTCCGTCCTGTTCCATTTGGCTTACTCCATTCTGCCCATCATCCTCATCAACGAGTGATTTTATCACAAAGGCCTCCTGCAAGTCGGCTTCATCAGTTTCATCAGTGTTCATCAGCTCTTCGTAGACAAAGTCATTGACATTAAATTCTTTAGACATCTGAGAGACAATTTCAGCGCTGATGGTGGAGGACGCGTTATCAGGCGGGAGAGTGTAGTACTTAATTTTGCCGCAATTCCAGTCCTGAAGCACCTTCTTGGCCGCCGAGTTTAAATCCAAAATGCCGCCCTTTAGCATTTTGCCAAAGCGCTTGGCTACTTGGTTGAGAAACTCTTTGGGCGTGTCAAAGTGAGTCAACCGGTAGAAGGTCATTAAATCGGAGCGGTTGATGCGATTCAAAAGCGCTTCAATTGGCAGAGTAGGATCAGCGAGGTTGTCAATGTTGATGGCATTGCGCAGAGCTAAAATTGACGACATGTGATCGCTTCCTCCCTCAACGACGGTGTTCTTTGCGAAAACGACACCAGGCGAATCGAGCAGTTTGATGTGCTTGTCCAGAGAAATGGTCTGTATGGACTTTGTGAGGCCCGGTGTGGCGCCGACATTGCACACCTGGTTCCGCTTAAGACTGTTGATCACACTGGACTTGCCGACATTGGGAAAGCCGACGATGCCCACTGTGATGGACGTCTTTATGTTCTTATTTCGGCAGTAGTTGTTGAGCAGTTTGAGCAGCGCGTCGGCACCGAGGCACTTGCTCGATTTCAGCAGCTCATCATTGCTAAGCAGAATGTTGACTTTGCTTCGGCCGAGATTGTGTTTCTGGTTCTGAGTGCTCGCCTTGAAGGGCAGTGTGGGAAACTCGTTCCGCAGATACTTAAGCCACTTGTGCAGGTTGTCTCGGGGCACTAGATCGGTTTTGTTAATCAAAAAGATGATGCGTTTGTTTGGGCTATTTTTAAGGACGGCATTTTCCACATCAAAGCAGCGAGTACCCAAAGGATCTCTCGCATCGAGCACTTCGACAATAATGTCCGATGCTTCGACAACTTTTTGAAACTCTTTGTAGAACGCTTTGAGGTTGGAAGTGTCCTTTTCCACGATGGTGGTTCCGTCGGAAGATACTGAGTTTTTGTTGTTGTTTTCAAATTCTTTGCCTCGGATCTCAGCACTTTTGGCCAAATCTGCAACACTGGTCGCCTTAAGCTTTGCACGTTCTGTTAGTTTCTGTTGCTTCATCTGGGTTTTCACCATTTCACGGTACTCCTCGGCTCGTTTCTTTTCCTCTTGCAACTCCTTGAGAATCTGCTCTTTAAACGGCAAGCTGTTGGGAATGCCGGGATCTTTGGCCTTTTTCTTAAAAGTCTTCTTTTTCATTTCCCTTCGCAACTTTTTGTTGTGATCGCGTACTTTCTTTTCAATTTTGTACCGCCTCTTGGCCGGAATCCTCTTGCTGGGTTTTTCTAGAATGACAATAATTATGATGCTTTTTATTGAAGATGTTGTAATTGGTACTTACTGTGCATTCCCTTGGTCATTTTCGGTTGTTTTTCAGAAACGGATAATGTCACAAAAAATATCAAGAAATCAATGCTGCAGAACAGCTGCTAACAATTTTTTTGTGCTACACGTGCTTTGCTTCCATTTTCACAGAAGACGTACTGAAATGTTTTTATTTTTCAAGTCCTGTCAAAATCCAGATAAGAACCATTTCAAACTGCCAAAGAGACTTGTTGTTACTTGATTACTTTATTATTATGCATTGGAGTTTTAATTACTGATTTTGTAAGCGTTTGTAGAATATTCTTAAAACTTTAAAATTCAAATTGAATGAAATTCAGTCTTAGTTTTAGAAGGGTTGTTTGTATTTTTTTAACTTGAGAACAAAATGTTTTTATATTTCAGGTTTTAGTTATTACTTGACATATTGTCTAATCAGAAGTTTAAAATGAAAGATAATAAAGGATGATGAATCAGAATCCCCGATTCCAATTCTGAAATGACAGATTAGTAACGTCGTCGTTGGATTGCCCTTTAAAGAATTTTGCTTCGATTAAATATTTTGTTTGTATTGAGTAAAGCTGTGGCCATCGACCCGAGGGCAATAATGACGCGGATTATCCAATAAAAAGATGCTCCATGAAGGAACGACCTTGACCAGCGACTGGCCTCAACCAGAGCACGGCTAATTAGCTTGGTCGCCCGAATAAAACGTAGAAGTAGTGTTATTTACCGCGCCTCAATGTTGCAATTCAGCATTGTTTACAACTCGTCTTCCTCATCACCCTCATCATCATCACCGCCGAAGTAACCGCACCTGACTTTTTCAAATTGCTTAACTTTTTGGCTGCTACAAAATGTCGTTTAGCACCACTCTAAAGGTAAATAAATGCCCCATTGAATGTAATCCCTTGACATATAGTTTATTTTTGCAGCGCAATTCCAAGTTGGATTTGAGCAAGTCTGACTTGATTAAATTGGTCTCTATGCTGGAGGGAGAGCTGGAGGCGATGCAGCTAATGTTGTCCATTGTCAGATCAGAACAGGTAATTATTGCTGATAATAGTTTTTATCAATAATAAACTCGCTGTATTTCATTGTAGATCAAGCGGCTGCTGACTCCCTCAACGCTGAGTAATCCAGGTTTCAAAGCTGTGAAAAACATCAACTCCTGCAGCTCAAGCTCATCGATAGATCTTAATCCGCAGCAGACAATTAAATACTCGGCTGATCCGCTCAGCGCTCTATCTCGTGATTCTTTTGCAGTATACCAGCCTTCATTTGATTACAACACAACTTTAGCCATCTTTAACCTCAAAGTTTACCAACTAGAAGACTTTATTAAAAACCACAAAGTTAACCAGAAAGTATTACAAAACGCACTTAAAGCAGCCGAAGAGCGATATGAAAAGATCCTTGTCGACTTGGAAATTGAAAGAACAAAAAACAACACCTTTCAGTCACAGTATCAAGAGTATGATCGCCCTAAGCTAGAAGAGGAGATTCAAAAGTTGAAGCAAGCGCTTGAAGAAACAAAGACGAGAGAAAAGCAGCTCATTTATCACTTGCTTGGGGAGCGGACTCATCTAATAGTGAAATTGATTGAGGAGAAGCACCAAAATGAAGAGTTGCGACAGGTGCTTTCGCTGGAAAAGTCAAAAATGTCCGAGCTGGTGCTGGGACTTGAGGGGGAAAGCGAGCGGAACCTGCAGCTTGAATCGGAGCTAGAGAAGTACCTAAATGACGCTGAAAAGGAGCGAAGCAGTTTTAAAGCTCAGCTGCAGCAAAGCGAGTCAAAGAATGCCGAGCTTCAGAAGGAGATTGACCAGCTGCGCGGCACGATAGACGGACTAAAGGTGCATCAGCCAGTGGGCGTCTCCAAGTCAGCGGACAGTGCCGTGGACAAGTGGAACATTGGCGAGGGGGTGCGCTCGTCCATTGTCAGCATGCCGGTCAGCGCTAAGGTGCACTCACTTTCCTCGGTCAGTGCCGTTGCCCACCCCAAGGCGAGTCTTGCTCAGCCGGTGACAAAGAGTATTCCCAGCACAAATACCATTCTTCCGCCGCCGTCGATTCCCGCTCCTCAGCCGAAGCAAAGTCAATCGAATACGGCTACGATGAAAAAGTTGGTTCCTCTGAGTGCTGTCGCCGCACCAGAGTCAGCGCCGACAGATGCAACAGCTAAAACGGCAGCAGCGACAGCAGCAGCAGCAGATGTGGGCAGCAAAAGTGAGCACTCTGCTAGAGTGAAGCAGAATATTCTGTTGTTTGAAGCTCAGAACATTGCGGAAAGCTCTTCTGCTCCGAGCAAGCCGGCGCCGGCATCAGTGGCGACTGCCCCTAAGTTGCAGAAGCCTCCATTGCCGGCGAATAAGCCCACAATTAAGCCAGTACTTTTATCGCAGGCACTACAGAGTAAGATTAAGGATACAAAACACGTGTCACCGCAGCCGCTTCCACCCTAGTAAGTGTTTCCAATGTGATGTTTAAGGGCGTTTAGGATGTTAACCTAGATTGTGTGCTGCTCCAGAGGTGTCAGGCGTCTAGAGAACCTCTGGCACACCACAGTTGTAAATAATTTATTGACAATGGTTTCATGTTGAATAAAGCAATAATGTTCTTTGTTTCAAGCCTTGCGGTGAAATAGTATTTGAGAAAGTGTCGGTGTGAAGATGTTTATCAGCTGTAATCAAGTGAGCGCCAGTTGATAATCAGTTTTACTCGCCGTTTTACGCCTCATGGGTAGTGGCACAGTCGTCGTCGTAGTCGTCGCCACCGCCCAACGTTCCACAGTGGCAGCAGCTAGAGAGGGAGAGGGAAGACGTAAGGACAGTGAAGAGTGCAGACAGAGAAAGAGAAAGAGAGCATCTTGAGAGGAGCACCAGGGAAAGACGTTCAGGGAAAAGGAAAAGGAGAGGGAGAGGGAGAAGCGGCTGTTGCTCTGACGGTGGTCGTCTGTTCGTCTGGGCGCTTCCCCTTCCCGGTTGCAGTAGTCTGCAAGACCACAAGTCTTGATTAGTGCAACGAGCACACTGCCAAATCGAGAGCGCGGCATCAGGGCGCGATCGGTTCCACTTTTTTCTTCACTCTTTTCTTCGCTTCATCCATTTTCACCTCTCAACTACAACCTTGAAATGCTCTTTCACTTCTAAAGGGTTTATTGTTGTTCTCGTCTTTTCTGCTCTACAGCTACTTGTTGACACCTTGACGACCATGTTGTTATGATAGTTTTTTAAATACTTACTAAATCCTCACCACCTTACTGCCAAATAAAGTATGGGCCATCATCGTCCAAGTGTTCACTGCCTGAAGAGCAGGGCAGCAGCCAGCCACTGCTTGCAGTTGGAGGAGGGTGGTCTCAGGTGCTCCCTCCTACCCGGCAGGTGTTTACTCTCATCACTACTTGTGCTCTTCCTCCTACTCTTTGTGTTCACCACCCAAATTCCTGCCACCACTGCAATTAGTCAAGTAAGTGAAAACTCGTTGCCAATTGATTCTCCTTCCTCAATAAGCTACTATTGATTTAAATCAATCATTTGAAAGAAGGAGAGAGTTTATCACCGTTCGATTGTCAGTCACCCAATTTTGAGGTTACACTTTAGGTCTGACAGTGATTAGATTAATATGCAATTTGCAGTTTGCTTCTTGTTTGAAGCTCCTTTTGTCCTTCGAACAATCGACAGTATTTTTTCGCCGCCTTATCACCCTGCCCCGGCAAGTCAGTCATTCTGACTTGCATTTATTATTTTTTATTTATAAAGTCTATCATTGCAAACCTGATATCTCGTTTCCTCAAACGCTTGTTGTTCTATATCTAGTTACAATAGCAAATTCGAACGAAAAGTTGTTGTGCTTGCTGATTTCGGTGAGCTGATCAAAAGTGATCAACGATCTAAAAAATGATCGCCGCGATCAGATGCTGGGGTCATAATTCATCGTCAACAACTGCTGATGTTTACATTGGCAAATGCTTTTTTATCCGGGGATTGAGTCTCTTGGCTCTTTTTCCTTTGAAGATGCGCCCTGTCGGCAACTTTCAGAGAGGACGAGGAGAGGGAAAGTGAGTGACTTGGGAGATGGAAAGAGAGAGAGAGAAAGAGAGAGAAAGAGGCGTTGAGTGAATCGCAGAGAGCGACACACAGATGCTCGAGCTCTGTGTGGAGAAATCTGTCGATTTCCAATTAGCTGAATGGCCACGCTAAGCAGTGACACGACCCCGACGTGACACTCGGCAATGCACGCTACTACCAGGAAACTACTCGCTTCAGAGCGGCATGTGTTGGGTTGCTGCTGCTGATGCTGCTGCTGCCGGACCAGATCATCATCGTCGCAGATGAGCCTTTGCCGCTGGCAATGCAAGCGAAGCGTGCACAGTAGACGAGAGTTGATTACCGCGCCTCGCCGCTGCAACTGGCAACTGCTATCATCAGCGGCAGTGTCTTCTCTTGGGTAAACAATTCGTTGCTGAAGTTTGTCTTTTTTCCCTTCTTTCCCTCTTCCTAAGCCTGAACCGGAGCTGTTCCTGGCACTGAAGAGAAGAGAAGGAGCATGGTAGTGGCTAAATTAGCCCGCCATGCAAGCACAAACTTGGACTATTTTGATTTTAATTTGATGCTTTTTGTCGTTAGAACTATAGGGCACTGTTTGTGCACTGTTCGTGGGGTAATGAGACACTGCTGCCAGTCAAATGAGACGCATCACTGAGATGTCTCTCTCCCTTCTTCTTCTTCTTCATCTTCGACTACAGTCGCCAAGAAAACGGCATCAGCATCAGCCTCGTGCCACCACTGTTTTCTCCCGCACAGACAGTAGTCAGTGTGTGTGTGTTTGACAGAGTGCTATCTCGCAGGTCAATCTCGTGTGTTTACTCATTTAGATCTCACTTTTCAAAAGAGTGCACTTTAAAAAAAGTGAGCTCCATCCTCGGTGCTTTGATCAAGGTTACACGCTGGCGGTGGTAGTGGCTGCGAAACGTAAACATTTTCGCGCCAGGTTATAGCGATATTCGTCTTATCAAGTATCGTTTGCCAATGGTCGACCTCTTTTGATTAGGATGAGCAGCACGAGAGTGAGCGAGTGAAACGAAAATGAGAAAGAGAATGAGGGCGTTGGCTGGCACGGTGTACGGAAGGGAGGAAGGAAGCTCGCACCAGTGTGCTTTCACCATCCTCGCAGCAGTTTTTGAATCGATGATCAGAGTCGACAGTGCCTCTACCACCATCTGGTCGATGATTGCAGCCAATCTGCAAAAAGTGCAGTGCTTGCAGGTTTGGGTTGCGGCGGCGGCGGCGGTGGTGAAGGCAGCAGCACTACTGTAATAGCTGACTAAATAAAGCACCTCGTTGTTTGATTAAGAATTGTCTGCAAGCTATGATGTATAATGCGGTGGTGTATAAGCGTAGATCAAGTGGCCAGAGCGATCGGCAGTGCTACCAGCACAGGCAAAAAAGTCAAGTTGACTTTGCAAAAGTCGTCGTCTGAAGTAACTGCTGCAGTTGCTGCTAGTCCTTTTCCCTTTTTCAGTTTCCGCCATACAGGGTGTATTAAAAATAGTTGTTCAATAAGATAAACAATGCACGATGCTGGTGGCAGGGGAGCCGGCAAGAACGCTCATCACCAGCACTCGTCTGCATTGGTGATTTGCCTGCTGGCTGCAACTAGTCCAGCTACATATTTGGAATTAGCAGTGTAGTGTACTGCACACTAATTGGCACACACACTCACAGGCAGACAGTGCTGATGCTGATAGCATAAACATTCGATCCAATTGCAACGAGTGACGATAGACGGTGAGGATGGTGAATGTTCCGCCGAATGTGTGTGTGTATGTGTGTGTTTATTTTCCAGTTTCCTTATTTACTGTTGCCCGCAGCAGCAGCAATGCAGGGCTCTCCTCATGTCCTGGGTGGCGGTAGCCCAAGTCTGGTCTATTTTTAATCGCCATTCCCTGTCTGGCCCCCTTTTCTAACAATATGGCAAATTACGAGAAGGCAAAAAGGGAGGTTAACGTTTTGCCTAGTTTATTTATGCGCCGCAGTAATTAAACTGTGACTGACCAAATTCAGGAAGTTGGGAGAGAATTAGCCACTTGTTGATTTTTTTAAAAAGATAAAATTTACCTTTCGTTTTATGCAGTCTGAATATACTCCAAACGACTATTCCGGCTACAATATCAACAATTTTCGCCAACCATCACCGCCGCCGCCACCACTACCACCACTATCGTCTTTTCAAAATATAAGCACATACACAAATAGTCTCTGTGAGACTTGTCCGCCACCTCGGGATCCTCGAAATTGCTACTGTGACCCGTACAGTAATGATCCAGAGGTGATTTGCTGCTGCTGCAGTCAACAGGTGATCACCTCACGTCAGCAACTGTGCTCCCAAAGGCCATGCATCACAGGCAGCGGAAACTGTCAATGCATTGGCGAAAAGGGCTCAAGGGTGAGTAGCAGTTTGAGAAAAATGAACTTGTTTTCACTTAAAACTACTCCTTTTAGGGCCCACCAGGAGCTCCGGGCCCTGTTGGCCCACCTGGGCTACAAGGACACCCAGGTAAGAGATTGTGATATCAATCAGTCAAAAGAAAAACTCTATTATCTAGATATTGTTATTTAAACTATCTAACTTTTTTCTTACATTTAAATAGGTCCTGAAGGTCCGGTTGGAGAAAGGGGTCAAAAAGGTAAGTTTAACTTTTTTTATTTTGAAAAAACCCTTTCAACCATTTGTTCACATTAATGTTTCCTTTTTATAGGCGATAAGGGCCCTGAGGGACCTAGAGGAAGTAGAGGAGATAGAGGAAGAATGGGCGCCCCTGGTTTTCCGGGCGCCCACGGCCATCCAGGTGAACTTTGAGTGCAGTTTACAGTACAAGTCAAGTAAAATATGTATCTAAAATATATTTTTTGAATTTTGTTTTTAAACAGGTCATCATGGCGCACAGGGCCCTAGAGGATATCCTGGCCTAGGTAAGTGCTAAAACCATGCAAAAATAATCTAGCAAATCATTTTGCACAACTAAAACTTGTTTATCTTGTTTGCTAGATGGCTGTAACGGAACTGATGGAGTTCCTGGAGTCAAAGGAAATAGAGGCCAAGACGGAGGTATGTTCTTAACTAGTACGCATAAAAAATTATTGTTAAATTTGTTAACATTTTACAGCACCTGGCCCGATTGGTCCTAGCGGGCCCAAAGGCCAGAAAGGAGAAAGCGCCATTTCTATAAGGTAAAGTAAAAAATTTAACAAATATATTTTTTTGAAAATAATTATCAAAGTTCTTGTTTATACTAGTGTTGCTTCTAAATAATTTTGCATACAGTTTTAAAATTTTTTTTATTTAATTTAGTGGACTTGCACTGAAAGGTCAAAAGGGTGAAGCCGGAGAAGATGGTGGGTATTGCCGAGACGGAGTACCTGGAGCTGAGGGCCCTATTGGACCTAGAGGATACCCCGGGAGTGCTGGTGTTAAAGGTAATTATGTGGAGGAGTTGTGTTTGAGTCGATTTTTGTATTCGATTTTTTTATTGCGCCAAACTCTAACGTTTTTCTTTTTAAAACAGGCGACAAAGGTGATAGGGGCATTTTAGGGCCTAAAGGCCTGAATGGGATCTGTTTGGACTCACAAAAAGGAGAAGTTGGTCCTAAAGGAGAGAAAGGAAAAAGTTGTGAGCCAAATGCATCAACTTTACCACCTGGAATCATTTACATCAAAGGCCAAGCTGGCGAAAAAGGCGATAAAGGTATGTTTTGTAGTGAAGTCTGTGAGCTGTCCTTGAATTTATTATTTTTATTCGATAACTAAAATAGTGCGAGTATTAGATTAAATTAAAACAAAATTTCACATTTTTTATTTTTAGGTGAACTTGGCGCTACAGGAGATCGTGGGTATCCCGGAAGTAGTGGAAGTCCCGGAGAACCTGGAGAGGTTGGAAGAAAAGGCGATAAAGGTATTTAATATTGTTTTGTTTTTGTTTATTAAACTTTGTTTACTTTGTAACTAGGCATGGGAGGCGTCCCGGGTCCTAGAGGAAAAGAGGGCGTACCAGGAGGGAATGGTGCCGTTGGCCGGAAAGGCAGCAAAGGAGAAAGAGGTATCTCAGGAAAAACTGGAGAAAAAGGTAGTTTATCCATTTTTAACGTTTAATTTTATTACAAAAAATTGTTTCTAAACTCATTCTTATGTATCGATTTATGTCCTGCTAACTTATAATATTTTTTTCAAAAACAGGGGCTAAGGGCGGGATCGGACCTAGTGGCTGGCCAGGAGAAAAGGGCGTCATGGGCCCTCCTGGGCCTCCTGGAGGAATTGAGGGCGTAGCCGGACCCAGAGGAGAAGTAGGACCCAAAGGTAGTAACAACTCTACATTGTTTTGAAACAACTATTTGACGTTTTCTATTATTTATGACCACTAAACTGTGTTTCTATTTTAATAGGAAATCCGGGACGACCCGGAGAACCTGGACCTGAAGGAGAAAAGGGAGAAAAAGGAGTTCCTGGAGAAAGGTAATGACATATGGATTGTGTGTTTTGTTTTTGGCATTGTTTATCTTGCATCGCTCATTTACAAATGTAGATTTGAGTTATAAATATTTTCAACAATTTGTCGATTCAATATTAAACTTTGTTTATTTTATCAAAAAGAGGGCCAATTGGAGAACGCGGAAAGCCGGGCCCGATTGGTCGGGAAGGGCCTGCTGCTGAAAAAGGAGAAAAGGGAAGCGTAGGGCGAGACGGAAGGCCTGGAAAGGATGGAGGAAACGGATTGCCCGGTTATCCAGGTTAGTAATAATTAAATTTGGAAACGTTAATGTGGTTTTGGTTAGCTATTAACAACTTTCTAGTTGTTACCTGAACATCAGAAGTTTTTATATAATACATGTTTACTAAAATTTTGACGACTTTTATTTCACTTAAAACAGGTTCTAAGGGCGAACCTGGCCGGAAAGGAGAACCAGGAAAAAGTATTCAGGGCCCCAGAGGAATGGATGGAATGCCTGGTTTAAGCGGGCGCCATGGGGCTAAAGGAGACAAAGGTTGGTAAACATTGAGTTTTAACCACAATTTTTAACCAATTATTGTATTGTTTAACAGGAGAAAAAGGAGAGCGCGGAATTCCTGGAGACTCTAAAGACGGAATTGCTGGCCCACCAGGGCCTAGGGGTTTCAAAGGTAAGTTGTTTATAGGTTTTTCTTTTGATTTATCTAGTTATTTTTAATTTAAGGCGACAAGGGCTATCCAGGCCTTGGAGGAATACCTGGACTACCTGGAAGCATTGGAGAGAAAGGTAAGTGAAAAGTACACATATGCATACATTTACCACCCATTTTGGAGTGGTTTCAGTTGAACCCATTAAAACCGGGTTTCTACTTTTGCAATTTAGTTTAAGGTTTACAAAAAATCTTTGAGAGTTAGATAAAAAGTAGATTAATTTAACTGTTGAAACATGATTTCACATTCAGAAATAGTTTAAAAACAATTTGCACAATTGAAAAACACACATTTAAATTAGGTTTAAAAAAGTATTGCAGAGAAGCGTGAGTTAACGTTACACATAAAATAAGAAAGTACAAAATGACTTTAACCAAATAAATTTTAATAAATTAAATTGTTTATAATCTCTAGGCGACCCCGGAAGAAGTTGTACAGCTTGTATACCTGGCTCTAAAGGCGAAAAGGGCGCTGGTGGCTATGATGGCGCCGTAGGAGACCAAGGTGAAAAGGGCGAAAGAGGACCTATAGGCCCCCAAGGCCCGAGAGGAGAGGACGGAATTCCGGGCATTGGATCGTTTCCTGGAGAAAAAGGTAAGTTTTTTT